TTTAGTGTATCCATTTTCTTTTAGGCATTTCTCGACGAAATCTAGTTCTTCTTCGACCTTGTTTGGTGAACATAGCTTCCTGGCTCTGTCGTACAAAACTATTTAAACTAGACTTATGCATACAGAAAGATAGTATGATTAACCTCTCACTCCCTTGGTAACTGAATTTTGATTTTGATTACAATAATTGGTCATCTAATTCAGTGATCTCAACTCACTGAACAAATCCTAATCTCATAAACTGTAACCGCCTTTGTTTTTGGAGTTGCTATGTGAACCTACAAGCTGACACTGTTTCTGTTAATCAATTTTTCTGTTTTCTGTCTTACCCCTCCTCCCTCTTTTCAACTTTAAAAGAACATAAATTGATGATGAAAACTTAAACTAGAAATTGTAATGCTTTCATTTTTGGATGCCTCAATTTCATCTCTTCTCTACTACCACTCAAACATCAAAGTATGTTATTATCATTTATATAACCATTGTAATTTCAGGTAGTCTGCAGCTGATGAGAACCTGTGAAATAGAATGATATCATTTTATACTGCGAATTTTTTCTTCCTTTCTTTATCGAAATTTATCAAGGGAACCAATTGTATGAAGTTCTTGAAAAGTTACCCCTAGTTTGTTGCATAATCTGATTTTCTATTTAGTATTACATTTTTTATGTTTAATAATAATAATAATTTGATTCACTAATGATTGATATTTTAACTTCATCCTTAGATCACTTATATTTTATTCTATTTTTAGTTTTGAAAATAATATTTGTTTATATTAGTAAATATGTAAGAGGCATTGAATTTTGAACAGGACAACACATTCTAGTAAATACTGGTTGGGTGAGTGTGTGTGTGTAGAATAATTTGAATCAGTTATTTATCATATTTGTCAGTTAATATTTGATATTTTTTTAAAAAGGTTGTTGTTGAAATTATCAGTTGTTTTCCACTGAAATTCTTTATTTCAGTTGTCTTGAAATTATTTCATACAAACGATTATATTATCATTATTATTATTACTATTATTATTCGTCCTCTAGGTTCCGAGTGCAAAATAAGGCCTTCAGCAGCATATTTTTACAGTGCTCCGCTCTCTGCCATCACTTTCAGCCGACTTTAAGACCCTCTTCACATGAACTTCAGTATATCACCCTCGGATACACGCCCAACTAGTCGTTTCTCGTTCGAGTTCCAGTCAACGGCGTGAACTACAATGTGACCCAGTGGCCCCTCAGCGTGTGCTGAATCCTTCTCCATTTTCTTCTACATATTTGCTAAGCAAAAGGTTCTTGATCGGTTCCTTCCCAGAGTATTTTGATGCCATTTCTTTCTAGTCGGCCATATGATTTTCAGTCCAGCTTACTCCGATCTTATGATTGGACACTAGTTAGTAACTAGTGTGATGTATCTAGTCCTCTGTTTGCTGCAGACTGAATTCTATGAGTCACGTTTGCAGTGTGACTACCGTGCTAGGCAGTGATTCGCCATCATGGTGCACTTTGAATTGTTGGTATTAGGTGGTTGGAGACAATCGCCAAGAAGCCATTCACCTAGGTTTCGTACTAGTTAGCACTCACTAGTCAGCAAGGCGTATCTGCAACCACCTTGAAGGAACTCATGTCGCTCGTGAGATTTGAACTCACGTCACCCAGTGCTACCATCAGTGAGAGACGTTACCACTACTGAGATATTCGGGCTCGTGACTGACCTCCTATAGGCTTGCATTAGATTTTTTTATTGGACACTACTTAATAACTAGTGTGATGTATCTAGGCTCCTATTTAGTGCAGATTGAATTCTATTAGTCACTTGTTTTAATAGTAGTAATTAACCTCACAGTGTTTACTTGGCATTTAGTAAATTATATTAAAATGCCAATTTGAAGTGGATTACCAGTCTTCCATTTAGCCATTTGCTTGTAACTAGTTCAATGAGAAAGTAAACACAAAACATGAGATGATGAATAAATTTGTCAAATAAACAAAGGTTATATCCCCTACTTTTACGAGTATCGTTCGTATTCGAGGAAACTTTCCAATAATAAACATATAGAGAGTAGGAAAAAGAAGAAAAAGTGTTTCTGTGGCATAACGGTTGCTAATTTCTTTTATTGAATATTGGACACTAGTCAATAGGGATCATGCTTTTCTATATCTAAATACTTAATTTCTTTTACTAATAAATTTCGCACAGTGGACACTATTCACTATGTCTGATACAATCTTAAATGAAGTCATTGATTTAAGAATAAAACTTGTGCACTGTGGTAGAGTGTAATTCCATTATGGGTAAATTTTGTTTTGATAAAGTCTCACACAGTGTTATACAGTAATGTTTACTGATGACCATGTTTCGAGCACAATTTATTGCTCATAATCATATCAAGTTAATCACACGACTTCCTAAATTCATTTATATAGTTCCGTTGTTTTGCACTTGATTTTCACTTGACTTGATTGGTAGTAGTATTTTCCATATTTCGGGTATGATTGATGAATCATTCCTATCGCATATGTTGGGTGTAGATTCGATTAACAAGGATTCAGTAATCAACCTCTCTCTCCACCTACCTAGATTACTTTTTAGAATTTTAACCCTCTCCCACCCTATTGTGTGGTTGTGTGCTAATGCATGCATTGCAATTGCTGAGCTTTGTTCTAAATTACTTATCTTCTCTGGGTCAACCATTCTTACCTTAGCTAAGTTCTTATATTCTGATAATCTGACTACGCCTGATCTACTAGTCTGACCTATGTAGTTGACCTCACAGTCATTGCAGAGTATTTTGTAAATTATATTATTTTGTCTAATTGGATCAACCGACAGGGTCCTCTAACCTACAGAGCTTGTCCCTGAGTGAGTTTGTAGGTTTAAATGCCACCCTAATTCCTGCTTTATTTAGAATCCTACGTAGGGTCTCAGATGTCCCCTCATTATATGGTATAACTGTAGATGACTTATATTCTCTCTTATTTATGTTATTATTACTAGTTTCACAATTCTTTTTATTTTTCTTTTGGCGTTTTTCAATCTTCCTAATGAATTTTAAAGGATAGTTATTTGACACCAACGCCTCTTCTATCTGTTTTATTTCATCATTTATGTCACTCATAACTTGATTAGATCAGTAATAGTCTACTCGACAACAGTTATATACAACCGACCGATTGATTGATTGATTGAGATGAGTAGGTCAAGACTCTATTCACATTAACCAGTAGTATTTGCCAGTCTGATCTATATAATCGAATGTATTACCAGGTTGCCTAAGTAGCTACCCAGTAATCAAGTAGTTTGAGTTGATTCTGGTCTCTGAGCTGAGTCCAGCTAGGTACATCACTAAGGATCTAGGCTAAAAACAAGCCTGACAAGCCAAATGGTTGTCCAATATTTAGATCATTACTAGATAGTATGATTGTTATGAAACTACTTATTTCAATAAATCAGTAGTATTTGGTATTATGTAACTATGGTTACTTTCTTGATTACCATATATTCTGAACAGAATAATTTCGGTTTTCAACGGGGAGTATGGTGACATTGTACCCGTTTGAATAATGTACATCGAATTATACTTAGGTTTGATTACAGCAATGAACACTGAGAGCTGATCCCACTGACAGGAACGATGTTTTGGATTCAAATGTATCATATATATATATATATATATAAATTTAGCTATGCAACTGTGGTCCGTTTCTTTGGCACTTGACTTCCAACTAGTGGATCACAGGGTCGAATGCCACTCCACTGATCGAGATTTCGGCTGCGAGGTGGTAGTACTACTAGCCTTTGTCCACAATAGGAGGTGTGGCTCATTGTTAGCTGCATGGGATAGCAAGTGGTTGTTGAGTAACAATCCATTTGAAATTTTTCACAAATTTTGTAATGTCAGAAATCAATTATATGGTGAATGCTCTGTCCACATGCATAAATTAAGCTTTCTTAGTGAGCTGGTTAAAAGTGTTATCAAAGCTGGAGGTAATTATTACAGAAGAGTTATATTTATGAATTCCAAGTGACTGCTTCAATACATTCTATAGTCAATTACGTAATCATGTATTTTTCAAGCTAAAAAACACATAACACAGACATCTAATAAATCTGACAATAGCATATAAGTTGCAGGTTCATATACGCTTTCAAGGGACTCTTTAGTGAGTGTTTGAAATTCCACACTACCTAGAGCATTATGAATACATTGTAAATTATCCGTATATGACTGGACACTGTCTGCAGGAATCCAGTGCCATCTACGTTCTAATAGCTCAGATATATTTAGATAATCAATTAGAAATAGAGATATATATATACATATATATATTTGGATTGGTTCCTAAGTAGCAACCAAAATCATGCGTCTAGTCCTTGACTTGATGCCTGCTGAACTCCACTAATGAAGTTTGCAATATAATCACTGACTGTGACACTGAGAGACGCGCGTTTGAATTCCAAGGTTGATATAAGTCCCTTTAAGATTGTAAATACACTTTCTCGACTGATGAGTGCCAAAATGTGCGAAACTTATGTCCAAATCTCCGCATCAATAGCCTACAAATACCTGAACATAAATATTTAGAATTCGAAGAGTGACTAACATTTATCGTATGCTACTCAATTATTGGTTTGTAGGGATTTGATTGATTGCTTACAGGATTTCATCATGGGTTGACATCGGTTAGAGAACCATTGGAAAACCTGCAGGGAGTACTGAACAGCTATTTCGTCCTAGTTTGGGACTCTTCACAGTGCGCCTTTACCGCCAAGGTTCGAACTCAGGACCTACTTGTTACAAGGCTAGCAAGCTCATAGGCCATTAAATCACTGGGACCCATTCCAGTGGCCAGCCCATGAATTCTAACTTCTGCCAATTCACGACATATCGTATGCCCAATTTCAGAATTATTAAGCTATAGCATTTAAATAATAGATACAACCAAATTCAGTTAAAATTGTTAAATTATTTAATTTACATAAGCATGCTTATTAATAACTCACCTTCATGATGTTCTTCTACAATGTAAACACGTAAATCTTTTGACCTGGTTAAAGATGTCAACTCCATACCATCCAAGTGATTATCATCAATTTGAAGTATTTCTCTCCAACTATTATAAACACTATACTCATATATCATCCATAATAAGATGAATGTATTGACAATAGCAAATATGATGATTAATCTATGCACTGACATGTATCTTGTTAATCGAACTAAAAATAGAATAAAAATTTATGAATAGATTAGTTAATGTTTACAATGATTGATTATTGGAAGGTAACCCAATATCCTATGGATTGAATCTACTACTCACTAGGACCTGACTACAACATGAAGTTACCTGAAGTTCTTCTGGGAGGTCGTGACCACCATGTTAGTGTCAGGAGAAATATTCGCTTATTACACTGCCTGGCAGTTATGCTGTGTATCTTGAATTGTCAGAAGTCAGAATTCATGGGCCAGTGGATTCTATTCCAATGACTGAATGATCGATGGGTTCACCTTGTGACCTGAAGGTCCTCGGTTGTTCCCTAATAGGATCAAGGGTGTGTATTGCTGAAGTTTTCCAAACAAGGACAAAACAACTGGCTTTCAGTAGTTCTCTAACTAAAATCAATTCGTGATCAATCCTGAATTCTCTCAGTCATGTTAGCAATGCGGTTAACAACTGGGCGATTCTCTCTATCTTCACAAACTTTGAATTGATGTTAAGTGGTTAAAATTAGTAGACAGGAAGTCCTTAGCCTTAGTTCCCGCCTTACGGATATCTTTTGGCACTACAAATCTGCAAAGAGGAAGGAATTAATGATTCTCTACTGAATTAAAGTCGCATTACTCATTGCTACAATCACTTATGTTACTGTTGACGTATTCAGGCTCATAAGTGACCTCATGTAGGGAATATAATGGATTGATTGATTATTTCCCTCCCCTTTTGGGACACTGTATATATCTTTAGAGATTTGAAGTGAATTTAGAAAAAGAATGTTCTTTACTGACATATGTCTTTTTAAAAATGAGTTTATACTATACTACTTCAGTGTTTTGTTCTCAGTTTATCATTGTGGAGAGTTTCATGAAAGTTCGAGAATTACTCAAGTTATTTTACTGCTTATGTCTATATATTAATACATCAATCATAAGTAGGCTAATTATTTTAAGATATATATCTGAAGAAAGATAAGATTCCCTTAAAATAATTTAGATGATGGTGACTAGCAGTAGAATCCAGGATACGCATGTTGTCCTATTTGGGACTCGCCAGCTACTAGATGTGCCTGAATCCCCCCAGTGAGTGATGATATTCTCACTGAGACTCAAACTCAGTACCCACTTTTTTATTTTCCCGTCGATCTATTGAATTTCGGAAATCAAAACTTCACTTTAACTAATGTGTGTCAATTAAGAGGTGGATCCTGTGGCTCAAGTGGTCTAATAAATAATGCTTTGACATTTGAAATAATGGACCCCGAGTTCGAGTCTCAGTGGGGATATCATTACCCACTGGGAAATGCAGGTACATCTAGTAGTAACTGACCATTGCCAAATAGGACAACATACGCATCCTGAATTCCACTGGCAGTCAACATCCACCAGGTGACTACAAGTTAATTCGCAAACACCATTCTGGGAGTATCCATCCTAGAAGTGAACATTTCAGTTCAATCAATCAATCAGTTGGAAAATGAGAAATTCTCTTCAACAAAGATTAGATTTCATTTTTAAAAATGTGAGTTATTTCAATCGAACAGTTCTCATTTTCGATTCCACTCAGACTGACAGAAAATTTTACAGTTTTAAAACTTAGAACAACACATTTAAGCGAACAATATAGTGCTTTCAATTAGATCTCATCAGGCTTAACTCTAATATACATAACTTTATAAATAAAAATTCAAATATACCCCCATCATGGTGTTTTGTCAATAGGATAATTTTTTTAATCCTTCACGTTCCCAGTGGAACATAGGGCTTCAAGCTAGCGGCTTGAAGTTTCGGTAGTAGTGTTTATTTTACAGGATGGGGTTGCTAGTCTCATGCCCAACCTTTCCTCTTCACCAGCATTATTTCTGGCTTAGAGAGGTAAAGGAGTGCTTCGGCCAGGGATCGAACCCCAGACCATGTGCATGGTCGGCGGGCGTCCTAACCGCTATGCCACCGATGGTGGCTGAATGGTATACGAGCTTGTCTTGTAACCGGAAGGTCCTGGGTTTGAACCTTGGCAGTGGGTGGTTTTCAATAGGATAATAAGATGGTGAATATAAATTGTGCAATTAGTCATAATAGTATTAGTGATGACAATAATAGTAATAATAATGGTGGTCTTATCAATAATAAGGATGAAAAAAGTGAGGCAGTCTGTGATAACACGAATAATGAAAAACAGCATGATTAAAAAAACAAATGTTCAGGTGGAAGTCGTTGATAAAGGCTAGTAAAAACAAATGAACCGATTAAGTAATGTTAGATTGTAAGGGAAGGAAATGAAACACGTTTATAATGAAGATGTGAGAAGATTAAGGGATGATAAGAAAGAGGTTGAAAATATAAACAAGGGGTGGTGTACAAGTCATTAGTTGGTTATGTCTTAATAAGCCAAGGGAGGGATAATGGCTGTACGAACTTCTTTTGAATGCATAGTTTAGGTTTAATAGTTCGAATGCCTATCACCTCAGCTGTGTGCAGCAGACGAATACGAAGTCTACTGGAAAGATTCGGTGTAAAATTCGTTGTTAACCAAGATTTAATTTAATTAATAAAAATATTCACTTCCTCAACTTTTTATTAATGGCAGTAAAACTTATCTAAATGATCTAGGCAACAGACAGTATCCAATTATGTGAATACTTAGAAATTATTGAGTCCCAAATCCAGTTCAGTTATAATCTCATGCAAATAAATAAATAAATATCTGCATTTATGTTTATAAATTATATTCAATTAATTTAACAGAAGTTTAAAGCACTGACCTAATGTATTCTAACCTTTAAGTGTTGGTTTGTTGATATTCAGTTGATTTCAAATTTCATCATGTAGTGATTTCAATTAGAGGGCTATTGAAAACCAGCTGGGAGTACTGGGAGGCTGTTTCATCCTAGATTAGGATCAATGGATTTTATCAGAGTGGATGAATGATTAACAGGTTAACTGCTTGCCTCCTAACCTGAATGTCTTAGGTTCGATCCCCATAAGATCATAGGCGCGTACTAATATAAGTATAAACTTTGGGCACTGTGGTAGAGCATAACTCCATTATGGATAAGATTTTATTTTGACAAGTCACACAGTGTTGTACAGTTATATTAACTGATGACGTTTCGAGCACAAATTATTACTGCTCATAATCATATCAAGGTACTCACACACTCGATTCCACACACACACACAAGATTTATATTCTCTCTTATTTATGTTATTACTATTACTACTATATAAATCTTCTACTGTTATACCATATAAGGAGGGGACATCTGAGACCCTACGTAGGATTCTCAATAAAGCAGGAATTAGGGTGGCATTCAAACCCACAAACTCACTCAGAGACAAACTTTGTAGGCTGAAGGACCCAGTGGACCCAATTAAACAAAATAATATAATTTACAAAATACCCTGCAATGACTGTGCGTTAAGTCAACTACATAGGTCAAACTAGTAGGTCGGGGGTAGTCAGATTGTCAGAACATAAGAATTTAGCTAAGGGAAAACTGATTGACCCTGAAAAGATAAGTAATTTAGAAAAAAGCTCAGCTATTGCACTTCACTCAATAACAAACAACCACACAATAGGGTGGGATAGGGTTAAAATTCTAAAAAGTAATGTAGGTAGGTGGAGAGAGAGGTTGATTACGGAATCCTTATTCATCGAGTCTACACCCAACACATGCAACAGAAGTGACTCAATGCAAATACCAGAAATATGGAAGATATTATTACCGCCGGTCAAATCAGAAGAGGATGATAAATAATCTTAAAATTCTATTTCCATTCAAGCACATCATAACATTCTAACAATCAACTTATTATGACTATAAAAACACTCGTCGTATTTCCCATCTAACTGTAATGAATTAATAATACTCGTACTATTATTTTTGAATATACATTATCTCATATTGAATTTTATTCCAATATCTAATCGATTCCAAACATGTATATAAATGAAGGAAAGAAGTTGTGTGAGTACCTTGATATGATTATGAGCAGTAATAATTTGTGCTCGAAACGTCATCAGTTAATATTACTGTACAACACTGTGTGACTTATCAAAATAAAATCTTAACCATTATGGAGTGATAGGCGCGTACTGTCGAAGAGCTTCAAACAACGATGTAACACCTGTCCAGTAGTACTTGGTTTTCAGTAGTTCTCTAATTGGATTCAATTCTTGGCCAAACGGAGAGCCAGTCATATCCTTGCAAACCAAATATTGAAAATTAATCGAATGCTCACTAGTCGCAGACTACAACAGGAAGTAGCCTGAATTTCTAGTGAGAAGTCATGACCGGTGGTGTCCATCAAGTCGAGTTAGAGGGCACCGGTGGCTGGCACTTGTGCTACATGATCACTAGTTGGCTGAAGATAGAATTCATGGACTACTGGAATCCATCTTAGCGGCTGAACCGTCATAACCTAAGGGTCCAGGATTCGATTCTTAGTGGAGGCGTACTACTGAAGAGTCGGAAACTAAGATGAAACAGCTGCTTCTAGTAGTCCCCGGTTTTCAGTGGTTCTCTGAGTGATGTCAGTCAGTGATCTAATCTGAAATTGATTAAATCCTTGTAAACAAACACTTGAAAATTCACTTAATTGATGGATGCGCATTTCGTCCTATTCGGGACTCGTCATTTGGATATACCTGCATTCCCCAGTGAGTCAGTGATGATGTTCCCACTGAGGTTTGAACTCAGTGACTATAGTTTCAGACGCCAAAGAGTAATCTACTAGACCGCTTGGGCCACGAGAGCCACCTCTTGTGCAACGGGTGATATTAATTATTTAATTGAATTTTAGATAGGACGAAATGCGCGTTATCCTGGATTCCACTACTAGTCACCATCCACCAATTAAATTCGAATTACATGCCCAGACATCGTCGAAGCATCTGCACACGAAGCCGACATGTCAACCTGAGACAGAGCACTTCTGCCCAATCAATCAATCGATGGGAAAATCGAAAATTCAATTAAACTTGAAAATTCGTTTGTAAAAAGTGAATACATCTGTAAAATACAATCGGAAATACTATCTTGTTAAAACAGTATGTGTATCTATTCATTCCTCCCCCCAAGAGTATGTAATTTGAAATGTAGTCTCATGGTTATTTTTTTATTACAGCTTGATGCCACACCGTATTTTCAGTACAAGTATGGAATTTTCAGCATGGATATCGGTAGCCCAAATTTTGCAGGCCAACCATTGATATCAGGTGTGCGTCGGCAGGGGATCGAACCCCGGACCAAGTGCATGGTCGGTGAGAGTCCTAACCACTGTGCCACCGACGCACATTGACCAGACCACATCAAGTGGTCTTTATTTCTCTATGATTCCTGGAAAGATAACTGAAATACTGTTTCCACCATGTTTGTGAACACTGCGCACACAGTCGTCAAAGCCTCTATAGTTAACTTATTTCATTAAGACATTTTATCCATTAATAATATTCTATGTAATTGACCTTTTTACTGACTATCTTGTTTAAATGAATAAATATATAAGTAGATGCGCAGAATTTAAACAACATAACATCTACAAACTACATCAATTTTCTTATTGTTATATTTCTCATATATTAAAATGGTTTTACGGTCATTAGCTTGAAATTGTTTTATTCATTTTGTTTATATTATGATGTTCATCTCATACATGACAGTGATTAGTCGCTAGGGCGTAATCCATATCATGTTTTTACGCATTCCCGATAGTGCACATTGAATATTACTTTTTAACTGTAGAATTCTCATTAGATAGGGTTGGGGGAGAGGGGGGTAACTCTGAGATCGACTTCGCATGAAGACGTGGACCATATACCGTTAAAAAATGTCCGAAACTAGGGTCTAATAGCTACCTGAATTCTGAGTTTGACATCACTTCGATAAGCCCCAGCTCGTAACTAGACACATCACACTGGATACTAGATAGTATTCAATCAAAGTTGCTATTACAGTCATACAGCAGAGGTGTCAGTTGCGGGCCCGAATATCTCAGTGATAACGTCCCCAACTGCAGCACTGGGTGACGCGGATTCGAATCTCAGAAGGAACATGAGTCCCTTCAAGGTAGTTGCAGATACGCCCTGCTGATTAGTAGGTGCCAGCAACCACGAAACCTAGGTTAGACAAAACTTCCTGCCGATTGCCTCCAACCATCTAAGATTTTGACTTTACATATAGTCTAGGTTAACCTAAATACTACTATGAAACTACTGCATTGCTAACAAATGTTTCGAATAAATCTTTATCATACTGTACCTAATTCAAAAAGACATAGGTTGGCATAGAATATTCTTTTCGTAATTCCACTTCAAAGCTGTAAAGTTATACATATATAGTGTTGTAAAACGTTACGGGATTACCTATAAAGATCAGTTGTTTATATCAGTTGATAACAAACATATAAAAATTACATGTCGGAAAAAATAATAAATTGCGCAAACTAAAAATATCAAGTGATTAGTATCTTTCAAAAAAGATTACGATTAAAGCTACAATCGCTTGAAAACAAGAGTATTTTTCATAAAAGTGAGAGTTTGAGAGTGTAAATTATATTCTAAAGTTAGGAGTTTGAAAAAAAGAATAAGGGAAAATAGTTGTGCAACAACAGAAGACAAGGATCGGGCAACAGATCGTTTATTGAGGAAATCAACAGATATTTATTGATTTTTATGCACATTTTTATTGGTTATTATTAGCAGCGAAACAGTGTCCTCTGATTGGTTGTTTTCTCGCTGAAAGTTATCCTGTCATCTCTTTGTGGCCGCTTCTTTGAAGGTCAGAATCGTATCCACCCACGCAAAGTCTGCTGTGATTGGTTGTTGAGTTCTTCAGGTTTAGGCTTTGTTCTTTTTCTTTTCTCATGACCAAGATTTGGGAAGTAAACATTGACGTAAATTGCTGTCTACCAATTTTGGCTAGTAGACAGCTCTCACCACAGTTGTAGAAGTTGAAATAGGAGATGTTCAACTCCATGGTAGTAGAGAGGGCCACAACATACAAAGCTTTTGAATGCATAGTTCAAAGTACTTCTTGTGTTTAGGACAAGCTTCTGAAATGTGCATAAGATGTAGCCGGATAGCCTTCTAACAACTTGTCCTTACCTTGTATAACACATTGAAAGATTTTTCTATTGATTTGTAATGATCTACATGAATAAGGCGCTGAAGAATCCAGCCATGGTTTCACCTAATTTCTCATTTCGGGAAGTGTATCATGTAGTTTTCATACTTGCATCCCATTTGCAATATATCTTGGTATTTGCTATGAAATGATAAAGGATACTTGAAAACCTGAATGATTTAGATTGAAATTTTCAAAGCTGCATAATATAACCCATATCTCTAGACTTTCTCCTTACTGCTGAATAGCAAAGCTTCACATCAAAAGCAAGAAGTACAGTTGAGATTAACTGTCATCATGAAAATTAGTCTACCAGTATTCATTATGTGGTGAAAGGTTAAGAGTGCTTATTATCATTTTTATATCTGACAGTTCAATGTGAAAACTCTGAGAAGAGTTTAACTGTCCCTAAAACAAAACATTTGCAGAAATAAGACAGAAGGGAAATATTTCTATGAATAAGGCATTCAGAGGACAAATTTCGCGAGATGATATCATTTCGTAGTTTCTTTACAACCGTTTTACAACTAACATGGTTAACAATAATAAAATAAAATAAAGGGCATGACAATTACTCAGTTATATAAAAAACAAAAGTACATACTAATCACCAATCATATTTAAAAAGGTCACGTAGTCAGTTCATGGTAGGCGAAGATTGAAGTCTATTGTTGTTTTTTGTACACATAGTTTAGGATGTATGTGATTGGTCCAACGTGCTTCCATCACCTTTAATAACCATGAATTAGAGTTTTGTGAAATAATTGTGAAGCAATCATTAATACTGATTTTCTGACCTGACATTAATAAGTATTTTGTAATGGATGATGATGGATTTCCATTCAGATTACTGGCATTGGGATTTTCTACATGTTTTAATAACCATTTTGGAACATGTTCTTCTCGAAGACATTGGAACATTCTATTGGTTCTACCTATGTAGGGTTGATACTGATTTCCATAATTGATTATTCTTTTGTAATCACCTCGACAATAATTTAGAGACATTAGCAACGATATGATTTTTTGGGGGGGATTCATCAGTAATTTTCCAACATATGACTGGATAATAAAGTAAGGAGTCCATCTACCAGATAGTGCATTCTGCCCACAGAAATTCTATTGAACTCTGTCCTTTTGTTTCCAAGCTTAGTCAAACAATTCTTCTATAAATAGTCGATCCTTTTCACTCTTAATTATTCAGCAAATTACATCATTCCTGGCCAATGTTACTCTTAGTTCCAGTCAATTACTCACTATCATTTTAAAAAATGCATGTTCATATCTTTAATTTTATTTTTAATTTTGGTATTGTTCAGGTTGTAACCAGTTGAGAAGAATTCGCGAAATAATAAAGAGGAGCTCATATTATCCTGGTACATTTCTTGTCCTTGCTTTATTCAAATAACTGAGAGATGAATGAATTTTTATATACGATTGCAATTCAAGGGCGATATGCTAAGTGAAATAATTACAAAGAAATTAAAAAAATCAGTTCAGAGAACTTTTAATGCTGGCGAACTACACGTCTTATTCTCTACACGACCGATGGTGATTCCTCGACTGAAAGATGGAGTACCTAGGCTAGCCACTTCAAATTGTATCTACCAATTCAAATGCGCTTGTGGAGCGAGTTATATCGGCCGTTTCTCTTGGAACTTGATTTCTCGGGCTTCAGAACATCTCCCAATGTGTCTAAGTAAAGGTGTAGCAAAAGCCGTCAACAGTTCAATATTAGACTACCTGGTCCAAACCGGCCACAAAGCCAGCATTGAAGAATCCCTCTCTATCATCTAACGGGTACCAAATAAATTGCCAAAAACATCGAGGTACCGCGTACTCCAAACAACAGAGGCTATCGCAATTCGCGTGAAACGAACAGTGCTCTGTGTGCAGAAGAAGCAAGTCCAGCCATTATCACTACCCTGGCCTTCAGTAGAGACTATAAATTCATGAATTTTTAATATTATCTTTCCTAATTCTTCTGACATTCAGCTTATTTTATGTTGATGCTATTGAACTGTAATCTATCAATATTACTGATTCGATGTTATTTAAACAACATTAATGTTGTTCATAACACTAATTCATTCATTCACTATAATGTATATATAACTGTAGAACCTGATGATGAAGTTATCGAAAAGAGTATTCTTTGTTCAGTAACCATTCTTTTGAGAATTTTTATGACTTAATTTTCTGACTGATAAGATTCAGTTTGCACCAAACACCAAAGATTAGATGCATAACATCAGTTAATACCTAGTGTCCAATCAAAGTTGCCATTACAGTCTTACAGAAGACGTTAATCGCAATTCCGAATATGTCAGTGGTATCGTCCCTGACTGCGGCACTGAGTGACGCGGATTCGAATCTCAGAAGGGACATAAGTTCTTTCAATGTGGTTGCAGATATGCCTTGCTGACTGGTCAGTGTCAATAAGCACGAAACCTAGGTTAGGCAAAACTTCCTACCTATCGCCTCCAGCCATCTAACAACAGTTTTAGTACCTTCTCCTAACTGCATAGATAACTGTCATGAAAATACTTCTATACATGAAACTATACTTACATTTTGTAATAAGATGCATAGATCCTCTCTAGTGTGTTTTTAAAATATGAAACATCATCTAATTATAAAGTAAGTAAATATTCAATATATTTAACTCGACTGGAATTTGTTTAACATCACAATTAAATGTAAACATATTTGTCCAAATTTTAAATACTATCCACAATTTATGATTGGATAGATCTCATAAATAAATATAGATACATTATAAATAAGAGTTATAGAAATAAATCACTTTAGGACATTGTATTGTTTATATTCCTGATTTGTATTGTTCATAAAGCATAGAATTAATTATGTATTCTGTGAAATAATAACCTTCATCAATAGATTATAATTGCATCGATATTTTGATTGGATGAAAAGTTAACCAATCCGCTGTCAGACTTTAATGGGTCATTTCAACAACTATTTTTAGTTAAACAGCGTGTTCGTTCCCTTAATCGTTTTCGTTAAAACAAGAAGAAGAAAATTTTTAGTATAAAATGTGCACATGTTTATTTCAAGGCTTCTCTTCAACCACAGACAGCCTAAAACATAAATAGTATTAACCAAAACAAGAGCATGCATGTTTTATTTTGTTGGCGGAAATTTGGTATGCAGATGGTAGTTTTAAGGAAATAACAATGGCTGAATTGTGATCACATAGTCATTTGCAAATAAAATGAAAAGAAAGTGGTTATGTATCATACTTTTGGAAGAATATTTGAGAAGTTTTGTTAGCTGACTTAACAACAAAAAACACTAATGTACCAGCAGTATACAAGAAGAAATGCCATGCGAGTAAGCTCTTGGAATTGATTTTAAATCCCTTATGTGACTTAAGACCATGGACCAGAGAGAAACCATAGTGACAGTAATAATTAAAGTAGTAAGAAATCAAAAAGCGGAATATCTAATTATGTAGTAATTTTAAAATTTGTTACCAGGGTAAGCGAAGATTAATCACTGTTTCTTTCTGTATACCTAAATTTGATTTGAATTACCTCATTTCAACAGACTCAGTGAATTGAAGGAGAGGTAAATTTCTTTACTCATTGATAATGGTGAATACAGTCTGAATATCCACTCTTTGTTCCGATTCGATTAGATGCCAGAGAAAAGAAATGATAAGGAACTGGGGGTCTTTGAGTCGCTGGCGTTTTGGAACGTGTTCGCAGAAGTGAATGGATGCCCGTCTTTCTGTTCTTCCAGTCTACTTGCTCTGGCATGTACATGTGAATTTATAATCACAATTGGAGGTACCTGCTCAATTTCGATTGATAAAGTGTACGACCAGTGTAGTAAACGAAAACAGGTTCAAGGTGAATTATGAAATATAGTTCGAATGACTTAATTCACTGAATTGAGATATTCAGCTATCAAATTCACTTGCGAAGAATTCCAAAGTGGAATTGCCTTCTTAGACGTCCTACTTACAAGAATACTAGATGGTAGTAGTAGGAAAAAATTTGCAGAAGAAAGGTACTTAGGCAAGACAATAGACATTTTTGCATAACTTTATTCGTATTCAGGACCAAAGCTATTTGGTAAAGATTCTCAGCTACAGAGTCAGGGCTATTTATTCAGAAGGTCTAGTAGAAGATGAACTTAAAGTTGTATATCAAAAGTTAATTGGAAATAGCTACCTTGAAATGTTCATCACGAAACACATTACAAAGAGAACAGAAAATAATTCTATGTCCATCAACAAGAAGCCTATATATATATGACTGCTATTTAAAGATGATTTACCAGGCGAAATAATAACCGACAAGTCGAGAAGGTCGATTCGAAGGACTTTTAATGCCAATGAGCTGCGATCCACATTTTCTCCACGAACGGCTATGATTCTGGAAGTGAATGACAAAGTATCTAGACTAGCCATCTCTTATTCTACCTATCAGCTGAAATACTCTTGTTGAATCAATTATATATTGGTTTTCGGTGTAAAAACCTAATTATTCGTCCTCGAGAAAACTTTCTACTGCGACTAAACAAAGATGTAGTAGAAACCATTCACAGTTCAATATTAGATCACTTCGTCCAAACAGGCTGCAAAGTTAGCCCTGAATAGTCATCTTCTATCATCTATTGAATACTGAATAAATTGCCCAAGACTTTTATTATTACTGTTATTATTATTCCCTTGGGTTCCTAGTGGAACATAGGGCTTCAACCACACGTCTCCACTTGCTTCTCTCTTCTGCTGTACTTTTCACCTGCATCCATGTTAATCCATACTGTTTCAGCTCTTCTTCACACGATCTCCTCCATGTCACCCTTGCACCGACGAACCACTCGCCGCTTCCCTTTCGGGTTCCACTCGAGTGATGGCCTGACACGCGACGTTACCCAGCGGCCTCCTCAGCGAGTGTCCAATCCATCTCCACTTTCTCCTGCATATTTGTTGAGCGATTGGTTCTTGTTTTGTTTGTTCCCATAGTTTCTTGTTGGTGATTCTTTCCGGCCATCTGATCTTCAATATAGAACGAAGACAGTTAGTTGTTGATAAAGGTCTCCAACAGGCTGTTGGAAATATTCTTTGTGACCCGCCAAGTTTCTGATCCATCCGTATAGAAGAACTGACTGACTTGACGTTTGTATTGAAAATCCGAATTTCGTTGTTGGTGCTGAGTGACGAAGATTTGCAGATTGGTTTCAGGTTGATGAATGTGTTTCTCGCCTTCCCGATTCTCGATTTGACATCCTCGTCCGTTCCTCCTGTAGTTGAGACAATGCTCCCTAGATAAGCGAATGAAGTAACCTCTTTCAAATCCCTTCCGTTGATGGTGATTGGCGTTGGATGTTGCTGCTGTTGTTGTTGTTGTTGTTGGTTATTTTCATAACCTCCGTTTTGTCTATGTTCACCTGAAGTCCTGTCTTTGCTGCTTCTTCAACCAGTTTGTCGGTTTTCGCTTGTAGCCCAAGACTTTTAATTACAGAATACTTCAAATAGCAGAAGTCGTTGAAATTTGTGTAAAACAACCAAAGCTCTATATGCAAAAAGGAACAGTTGCAGACACTGTTACTACCCTGGTTCACTGTGGAACTTATAAATTCAAAGCTTCTATATTATTTTCTCAATATATCTTATATTTATGTATATTATCACGCACAGACTCTTTTTAGCTGTAATCAATCGATATTAATGATTCAATTTTATTGAAAATACTCATTGATTACCAAAGAGTATTCAGTGTTACTGTCCCCAGTTTACACGATATCTATGCATCAGTCATACAATGAAGTCATCAAACTTTCTGGTTGTGTGTGTTATTATCCATTCCATTTTATTTCAGTTTGGTTGTAACATAAGCTTGATTTTCGTCTGTCTAGAAAGAACCACTGATATTGCAAATAAAACCCAGGTTGTTCACTTTCATGCATCAGTCATCATGAGTATCGCTTTTGTGGGTGAGACACTCGATTCAACATCTTAAGATGTTCATTTGATTATCTATGGAAGCGTCACCATTGATACAACCGATATCAGTTAGAAAAACATTGGAAAAGCCGGGATTACTGAACAGCTGTTTCGTCCTAGTTTGAGATTCCTCATCAGCACGCACCCACCGCTAGGGTTTGAACCCAGGACCTCCTGGTTACAAGGCGAGCTCGTAGATCATTAAGCCATTGGGACCCGATCCTATGGCTAGCCCATGAATTCTAACTTCTGCCAATTCCCAAGTTTTCCAATGGTTCTCTGACTGGTGTCAGCTCATGAGAAAATCCTGTAAACCAATCAAACAAAATCCCTACAAAAACTCAATACTTGAGAATAATGGTAATTACAGTGATTTGATATTCTTCTAATAGTTTTCTTCAATCATTCCATACAAAATCAGTTGAACAGTTTGTACTTCTATCAAAATTTTCTCCCTTTCATTACAAACCACGAGTTCACCATGTTTACGGACCACAAGCCCCATAATCCTTGTCTTATATGCCACTACAAATAGGTACTCTGTGCGGGGATTACGCATTCACCAAATGTCCGATTACAGTTATCCAGTGGCGAATGAAATGTCTTGCATTTTCACTGCAGCTCTTTAAACTACTGAATTACGGAGAATAGAAGAGCTTCATAATCACGATTTGATTGTGGAAAAACTTTCATTCTATATATCATTAGATCAGATAAAAATCCATACAAAATTTAGCTTTCGTTGAGGCGCAGAGTTATCCTCTGTTTTTCTACTAAGCATGCTATGCTATCCATCTTTGCAACCAGATATTATCACGCCATTATTTCCGTTTCTCTTATAGCTTAACAGGTTTATTCTTAATTGTAATACACATAAAACCATAGGATTTGAGCATTTTGGTAGAGCACAATTCCATCGCAGAATAGTTTAATTTGACAAAATAACTCAATGATACACTATTATCTACTGATGACGTTTCCAGAACCGTCTACTGCTCATAAACAATATCAAGGTACTTGCATAATTCCAAAACTTTATCTGTATATTCACATTATTTCTTATCCATATCTCTGGTATCAACGTTGCATCATTCCTGTTGTATGTGGTGGGTGTAGATTCGATGAAGAAAGATTCAGTGATCAACTTCTCCCTTCATCTGCCTACATCACTTTTTGGAAATATAGCTGTGTTCCACTTTAGCGTGTGATTGTGAGTTAGTGCATGCACTGAGATTGCTAAGTTCTTCTCTAGACTATTCACAGGTAGACTTCTGAAAAGTAATATAGGTAGATGTGAAGAGAGTTTGATTACTGAATCTACACCTAAAATATGAAATAGGAATGACGTAACGCTGGATACTACAAATAATAAAATCAAAGGATAAGAAATAATGGAACAACACATTAAAGTTTGAAAGTTATTTGCGTGCTTTTTATATGATTATTCTCACATAATTATTCCGAGTGGAACATAGGGCTTCAACAACACATCTCCACTTTGTTCTGTTTTCTCCTGTGCTCTTCAGCTGGGTCCCCGATTGCCCATAATCTCTCATCTCTTCCTCGCATGATTTCTTCCATGTCACCCTCGCAGCGACGACCCACTCGTCACCGCTTCCCATTGGGATGCCACTCCAGCGATGGCCT